CATCTTTGCTCTTCAACACTTTAAAAAGGTCTTGTGCAGATCTGCCTAATGCAGTATGTCCTCTGATTTCTTGACCGCTGCTTCCATGAATATTGATAGTTGGTCCAAGAAGAATGCAGTCCTTGACAACTTCAATTTTTTCTCCATTGGTAAGAATGTTATTGATCCAGGGGCGAGGAATTTTTTTTTCTTTGCATTGAGATGTAATCCATACTGAAGGCTGTGCCCTTTGATCTTCATCAGTAAACGTTTTACGTCTTCTTCACTTTCAGCAATCAAGGTTGTATCATCTACCTAACGCAGGTTGTTAATGAGTCTTCCTCCAACCCTGATGCCATGTTTTTCTTCATAGAACCAAGCTTCTCAGATTATTTGCTCAGCATACAGGTTGAATAAGTATGGTGAAAGAATACAATCTTGTCGCACACCTTTCTTAATTTTAAACCATTCAGCGTTCCCATGTCCTGTTTGAACAACTGCCTCATGGTCCAGGTACAGATTCCTCATGAACACAATTAAGTGTTTAGTAGTACTCATACTTTGCAATGTTGTCCATAGCTTGTCATGATCCAGACAATCAAAAGCCTTTGTGTAGTTATTAAAGCACAAACATCTTTCTGATATTCTCTGCTTTCAGCCAAGATCCAGACATCAGCAATGATATCCCTCGTTCCACGGCCTCTTCTGAATCCGGCTTGAACCTCTGGAAGTTCTCTGTCAATGTGTGCTTGCAGCCTCTTCTGTATTACCTTAAGTAAAACTTTACTCGCATAGGATATCAAAGAGATTGACCGATGATTTCCACATTCCACTGGGTCACCTCTCTTTGGAATGGGCACAAACACAGATCTCTTCCAATCAGTCAACCAGATAGTTGTCTTCCAAATTTCTTGGCAGAGATGAGTGCCTCCTCTGCCACTTCACTTTCTTGAAAGATTTCAATTTTCATTCCATCAATTCCTGGTGCCTTGTTCTTTGCCAATTCCTTCAATGCACATTGGACTTCTTCCTTCAGTATCATTGGTTCTTGATCATATGCTACATCTTGAAACGGTTGAACATTAACCATTTCCTTTTGGTACAGTGACTGTGTATTCCTGTCATCTTCTTTTGATGCTTTCTGCATCAGTCAATAATTTGCCCAGAGAATCCTTCAATAATGAAAGTCGAGGCTTGAATTTTTTTCTTCAGTTCCCCCAGCTTGAGAAATGTTGCATGTGTTCTTCCTTTTCAGATTCCAGATCTCTGCACATTTTGTTGAAATATTTGACTTTATCTTCTCAAGCTGATCTTTGAAATTTTCTGTTCAGCTCTTGGGCCTACTCATTTCTTCCATTTGCTTTAGCATCTCTATACTGGAGAGCAAGTTTCAGTGTCTCCTCTAACATCCATTTTGACCTTTTCCTTCTTTCTTGTCTTCTTAATGACTTTTTGTTTTCTTCATGTATGATGTTCTTGATACCATCCCACAACTCTTCTGGTCTTCGGTCTTTAGTGTATAATGTATCAAATCTGTTCTTCAGATGATCTCTAAATTCAGGTGGGATATAATCAAGGTCGTATTTTGGCTCTCGTGGACTTTTTAGTTTCTTCCGTTTCAGTTTGAATTTGCATATGAGTAATTGAAGGTCTGTTCCACCATCTGCTCCTAACCTTGTTTTGACTGATGATATGGAGCTTTTCCATCGTCTCTTTCCGCAGATGCAGTCAATTTGATATCTATGTATTCCATCTGGTGAGGTCCATGTGTATAGTTGTCTCTTATGCTGTCTAAAGAAGGTATTTGAAATGAACAAATCAATGATTTTGCAGAATTCTATCATGCGTTCTCCAGCATCATTTCTATCACCAAGGCCATACTTTGCAACTACTGATCCTTCTTCTTTGCTCCCAACCTTTGCATTCCAATCACCAGTAAAG